CTCACTTCCTCGGAAGTCAATTTCGGACATCAGTTAGGCGCTTGTTTACACGTCGGTATAAACAAACAAGTATCGATTGTCATGGGAGCTGCTCACTTGGTTCATTGTATTGATGTTATTTGTCGTACGAATCTTCGAAGACATTATGTTGAAATAATCCTTATGAGTGTTTGTGAGCCAGACACATTATTGTGTGGAAGAGCGGCTATATAATATTGGTTTTCTAGTGTATACCCTACTCCTGAACGATCTACTCCGCGCTTAGTCTGGAACAACCTAAGTTGGTGTGTAAATCGATAAACCACTTGTAGGAATGTAACCGACTGGGTTATTGAGGAATTTCGTATTTAACGTCAAAACAAGTACAAAATCCTCTCGCGTTTGCGACAAAAGAGTGAATACGGATGCGTCAATGACGATCTAAGTGGCCTGAAATAAATGACCCTATTCACCGTGTTGCAGCGTTAATGACACGAGAGTGAGTTCGCTTGTACGGTAAACCTCTGCACAGAACTACACTGTGATGACACCTTTTAGTAGGCTTTACTAGATTCCTGTGGAGTGAGTTTTGTACTTGTGAGAGGTGGTTTGCATCCCCGTCAACTCTACAATGACCAGGTACATTGTTTTCTCAGTGAACAGACAGCTGGCGTAATGAATTTTTATTCGGAGAAAACATCTTGTCACACCAGGTACATTGTTTTCTCAGTGAACAGACAGCTGGCGTAATGAATTTTTATTCGGAGAATAAGTGAAGCCAATCTATGCCGAAAAGCCGAGAAGCACTTCTTGGCTTTTCAGCATAGATTGGCTTCACTTACAGGACGAAATCTCCACGAAAATCTTGTTACAATGCCCTTTACAACGTCCATCTATCTGGACCATCGGTGGTCACTACAGTGAGGCGTCGTTATGCTTTACCTAACTGCATTATTAAAGGAAAAGCGACTGCAGATTTCGGGTCGTTGATTTGCACGCCGGTGCTTCACATCCTTACAATTACGCCCGTTTGCTGGAAGAACGGTTTGTTGTGCATCAGAACGGAATGCTTGTTTACCATGAGCATTCCGGACCACACCTCCAACACTTTTTCAAACAATCTGAGTGGAAATTGGCAACCCCATTGCCCTCGATTCGCGACTGTATCACACAGCGCCGGTTGCCAAACGCATTGGGGGGTCACGTAAACCCCATGCAAGGAGTTGATTAGCGTAGATCATACTCGAACTGTTCAGCATCTTCATACTTCGCCTACGATTCATAGGTTACTCACTTTGTTCTGCACTTGTCTAGGTTTGGCCGTCATAGCAATACTTTTCTCGGCGGATGGGAACTCAATATGAGCAGACTACTACTGAGCCACTTGTTTGCCGTATGAAGTACCCGCGGAGCTGTCAAACTCCCGTTTTGCAAACACATGCTAAAAATTGTACTATTCTCTGCCTAAATCACTGATCGTTCCGAGACCTAAAAACGTAGCTGATTCTCGTTCAGATAAGACCATCTCTTGTGGTCAGCGCCATCATCTGGTACATGAAGTGCCCTGTTGATATCACAATTCTCTCGCTAGCAGACAATTCTGAACTGAGATAAGTTCAGCCGATGTCAGAGTCAGTGCAACATCAGTGGGGAGTAGGTTAGGCTTCTGGTGGTAGTTGAAATAAGAAGTTACTGTACAGTTTATGAAGCATATTGGTGAAAGTGCATTTTTCCCATTGTTTTACATCATGCTTCCATTCCGGCTTATTTTCGGCATCCGCTGTAAGTTACTCCATTGATTTCCCATTTCTCTGTAGGCAAGGTTCAGAAGTGTTGCACTTCAAAGTTCTCCAAGATGATGGTGGGAAGTATTTCTTCTGGCTATCCAAGTTTGACTCGATCAACCAACTGATTGATCACCATCGAACAACAAGCATATCCCGCACTCGACCCCTGCTACTGGTTGACCGTGTACCTTCAAAGGTGAGGTTTTGGTGGTCTTACTGTGCGATGTAATTTGTTCAATAATTCTCTGTGAACCGTTAGTTTGGTTTAACTGGTTAAAATAGGTATCATTTAGGTTCCATACGTTTAACTTGGATGCGTTATTGAATCGTCAAAAAACTTGAAGAAGCCCTTACGATGTAGTACGATCGCCTAGTTTATAACAAGGTTTACTACATACTTTTCTGTGCAGTGATTTGATTCGTTTGAAGGCTTGGAGTTGTTGGATTTTCTTGATCTGTAGTGCTCCATTTTTAGCCTCTGGCTTCCTTTTCAAGTCAGGTTGTTTTCCACACATATCATTCTAGGTGTCCACTTCATGTTGATAGCTGAGAAATCGTAGATTTCGACCGAACTCCGGTAGAGATTTTGAGGTACAGCAATTCTGTAACCCGTAGTGAGCACGAGAATCGCGTTGCTACCAAATTTCACTAGGCCCCAGTTGATTAGACATCCAGAAATAGCTCGTCTCTTCGACCCAAAGAATTTATTTTAATTAGATGCAAGAAAGTGAATTGCGGTTTAGATGGACCGTAGGTACTGTTGCAAAACTTACATCTGTTTTGATGATCATAATCAAGTTTGTATGGTATGGAAAGCAGCGTTGTGGAATAAGATCTTATAATCCAACATTTCGGTTTCCGTGGTCAACTTTTTTCAAGGAGTTCATCAATCAATTTAATGCGGGTCACATGCAGCGTCATTTGGGCCCACTATCTCTTCTGATTGGTATGGTCTTGAGATCAGTCGACAGTCAGATGCGACCAGCGTATGTGGGTATGTATTAGCTCTGTGTGCGGTACGCATGATTAGAATATTACTGTGCTGGCTGCGATGCGTCATTGTCGAGTTCCATGCTTGATGTCTATCTACTATGCCCACCAAGGTGTGCAGTGAGTCCAAGCCAGATAGACGGGATGCTGGCCCCATCACTACGGTCCACACCGTTCGGTTGTGTTGATCTCACGTGTGACTTGAATGCCGACTGCAGTATACGTCTACATTTGAAGTTGATTTGCTGGCTTGACTCAAGTGCGTGGAGTACAATGGCTGAGTCGCGCTCAGGTTTCTTTAAAACTCAATTGTGTTTATTGGAGGAAAACGCGCATGTCGTGTGTGCTCCGTGATTCGCAAATAGAGTTGCCTGGCTGTCGGGCCTATTTATTTGGTCGGACATTCTGTTTAGGGAATTTGGTACACAGTTTGTTTGAGGTTTCAGTTCAGTAGGGTCCTCCTTGTAAAGTGTTATCGATTTGAAAGAATGTTTTAATATCATAATCCCGAAGTATCTTCCGGGGAGCTTCATTTCTCTGGTGTATTCCCAGGGTGACTACCGGGTTTTCGTCCTCGTGCCTCACTGTTCCGGGTAGCGTTCTCCCCATTTGTTGGGCAGCGAGCCTCATGAAATACCTACTTTGTTGTAGTACCCTACTGAATCGCTTATTTTCGTCTACTCGTATGACCTCATCCAAGCATAGTTCCTTGACGCGGTTCACCAGCGATTCGATAACTGCTCGTTTAACATAGTGTGTGCGCGAAAACTCATAATGCAAAATGCCTTTCTGAATGTGTGGGTTTTCTGTGGATATCCACTGAGAATACACCATTAGTGTTCACAGATAGCTTGCAATCCATGAAACCAATAGTCCTGTGCTCGTTCTCAGGGATGTCAACCAACCAGCGTAGTAACAAAGGGAGGCACATCCTAATCGAAATACACACAGATGCGTACACTCACACAGAGGTAACACACACCCACATACGTTGGTTGCATCTGACTGTCAACTGGTATCAGGAACACGCCATCCGAAGATATGATAATGGACCCCGATGACGCTGCATTTGACTCGTATTCAATTGATCGTAGAAATTCTTGAAAAGGATTAACCACGGCAACCAAAACGTCGGATTATGGCATCTTATCCCACCACGCTGTGTTTTGACATTGAAAATTCCAAATTATACACCACATGGCACTCAATCTTTTCAAAACTATCCGAACCGAATTTGGCCCTGAACTTCTAAAATTTCAGATAGCCTTGACTAGCCTAGCCCTCAGCACCTTTTGGACGGATTTTCACCCATCCCGTAACCGGATTCTATGTTATCTTTGTCGTCTTACTTACTCAAACTTATTCGACATCTTTTACATTTTCAAGAATCCTTTTACACACCCTTAGACCTTCTCGACTTCTGGTCGGGAGCACGGAATCCAGCGGGTTATCGCTCGGTTTGATTTTGCAGCCGAAGACAGCGAAGAGCTATCTTTTCATCGAGGTGATGTAATCGAAGTGACTGGACACGAGAATGAAAACTGGTGGCGCGGTCGTCTTCCTGGTGGTCAAACTGGACTGTTTCCGTCGAACTATGTGGATTTGCTGCCGTCGGTTGGTTGAGTCTGCGTGGGCCTGACCCACTCGCCCATCCGCTACCTTCACCGCATCCAGCCCCTTTCCAACCGATGATTTCTGCCCCACCTTGTTTTGAAGCATTGTCACAAAACCAAACTGTCATCAATATCTCAGCTGGTTGCTTGGATCCGATCGAATACCTGCTTCACAATCCAACTCTTGCCCCCGCTCTGATCCTTACCTTTCATCGGTGGACAGCGTGTGATGGCCTCGATCATTGTATACCGAGACTACTACCATCCTATTAATTACTTCTCATGGTTCTCATTGTAGAAAACTACCCGCACCACGTTCTCTGTCGGTCAACCATCCAACTACTAGTCACTTGCACATGTTCTCTAGGTGTGTGTGTGTGTACGTATACCTTTATTTGTCCAAAGTTTGCCATCCAAATATTGTTCCACCTGTATGCCGACAATGGCTCGTAGACTACTTCCACCTTCTATTTGTTGTGGCCACATGTGCGTTATCTTCACACAAACGTTCGCCTAAGGGTTATGTCATTCTCAAAGAACTATAATGATGTAATAGCCTCGTTTGAAGGGCTGAGGGTCCTGTTTTTTATCAGTTATATGTACCTATGTCACGTACTTGAACATTCACTTGTCACCACCTTATCTGCTCTGCTTCCGGATTGATTACACTATCGACGCTGATGAGAATGACTTGCTTCTGCTTCTTTTTAGACCCAGAAATCGAAGAATTTCCAGTTTGCCTATTGGTTGTGAATCCTTGCTTCATTTGATGCTCCTTACCAAACAAAGTAACAAGGACATCAGGAACGCATGCCAAATTATTCACACGCGCTAAACCAATTAAAAAAAATAAACGGACACTCCTCTAAAGATTTTTTGTTTGTTGCGGATTCATTATTAGATTTACATTGATCGTCAACGGTGGTTTCACCTTTCTTGTAGCTCATCAGGTAGACACAGTCCTTGAGTTTTCGTCATCCTTATGTTCTACTTAAATCCAGATTGTCCACAATCCGCGAAGTAAACTCGTCTGCAAGTTAATTTGGTTTGTTATTGGAAGATTCAACTGAATCTCAGCTGAATCGTTCGTCTCGAAGAATATTCAGTAACCGTGTGAATATTGTGTTCCTACGAGGCAGTGTACTGCAATATCTCGAAACACGGGGCTGACATTGTGCAGCGCAGTCGAAGAATGTCATAAACGAGTGATTCGCCTGAGATTCATTCTCTCGTTAAAAAAAGAAAGTTAGGTTGTACATGAGTATTTTCTGTGAATTACTGTTCAGGATAATCCTGTTTAGTTGATCAGCCGCACAACCGGAACTATTTGGAGAAACGAGCTTCTCGATATTGCTTATGGGAAAGAGGCCAGGTCTGATCAGTTTTGAAAGACCACATAGTCGGGACATTACACTACAGTGATTGCGTTCCCCCTAGTCATTTGTTCGTAAGTATTAATCCCACGAACAACAGAGGACATTTACTCTGCAACACCTATTCCAGTCACTACGTGAACGACCCCTTCTGATTTCCATTTCGACTTCGTAACCAAATTCCCTCACCAATAGACTGGAACGTACCGTTTTGTGAAGATCTGTGTGCCTTCATAACCCACTGAGTTATACTGGAGAGCGTACTTGTAACACTCACAGAGCCTGTCATACCAGGTCGGTCAGTGGGTAAAGGTCTGACTAACACAGTCTTCTGGTGGACTTATGTCAACTACCGATGCCTTGCAGTTGAGTTTTTGAGCCGAAGACTGGTTGAGAAGTCTAGTCCTCCTGTCTGGGCCTGGCAATAGCCCAGTTCACGTACGACCATGAATTGCACATGTACAACCAAATAAATCTGGACCACGTGATGCCACACTTCCATGTCGCTTGCAAATTTTCTTGTGAAATGAGATGATTTGGCCCCACCGATTCTTCAGGTAAATTCGTTCAACATATGGTCCACACTGTACTCTGCAAGCTTAATCTTAGGAACTTGAGGCCAGGCAATGACCCAGCTGATTTTTACGTATCACTATATATATATATATATATTCCTTATAACGGCCATGTCGTGAATGTAAACTTTCTTTTCTCGAAGGGATAATCTGATGAAGCCTCAAATGCAATTACAATTGCTAATTGTCAAGGAAGTACTCTTCAGTGTGGTTGGTGCCGGGACGCTTGTTACAAATCAGTCGTCATCTCGGCCAAAGGCGAGGCTGCTTTGCTGAGCAGGGTGCACGTTACTAACTTGATGGCCTGACAGTCGCTCTCGGTTCACCGTAATTATCTGCTACCTACTGATTGACCGGACATATTGGCCTCCAGGGCCAACATGTGTTCCTGAATTCCTCATTTTCCGCACACAATAACAATAGAACAAACGCAGTCCCTACGACCTCATTGAAGGTGGATTTCCCTACGTTATTTACCATCTCACGAAAAATTTCGCGTTCTTTCCAAATAAGGGGCCTAAGTTTTTTTGGGGGTTGGCGTAATACACTTCCTCTACAAACAAGGTCAGGCAACGGAATTCGGGTAGCGTCTACGTGCCAGTCAGGTTGACGTGATCACAAATCCTGATATTTTTGCGGAATCAGATAGCTAAATATATCTTTGCTCTTAGAAGACCTCGTTAACGGTGATGCTGTTGTTGTACTGAAGTCGACATCAGCTGCTTCTACCAGGTCTCATGTGCACCCACAACGTCGTTGAAGACAAAGCGCCTGGTTTAAGGAAACATTGTATCAAGAATTTTACACAAATTTCCAGTCACGAACCGGTAATGTTGGCTAAACGTAATGTTGGCTAACGTTGGCTAAATTCTTAGAAACACAAGCTTAGCAATTTTTTCGCACAAGCGGCTATTATAGTTTTAGCAGAAACTTACATTCCTGTGCTTAAATCGTCTTTTATTCAAGTGCGTTGGTTTAGGTAATCAAACTTTATATGTTTTCGGCGCACAGCCGTTCGATTAATTGCGCTGGAAAGTATGTCCTGTTTTTTCAACTGCTCATCAGTCTTTGGTAGCAGACCTAGGCATTAAGTAGGACAAGGTCCAAAACGTGTTTCTTAACAGATATTGGCCAGCTTCCGCGCGAAATGTAGATCTTAACCGTGTTCTCTACTACAACAGTGACACGTTTATCCGTACACTAAAGCAATATGGTGTACCGTTTTCATGTTCCATGTGACTGAGTCATATCAGACAATATTCATGTTGATCGCTTTCATAGCTTACGGGAACAGACTGACTTTTACATCAGATAACCACTTTGGATCGCGCGTCCAAAATGACAAAAACGTCTTTTATGAATTCGCGCAATCAGTTGAATTTTCAGCTTGTTTTCGATGGCGACGATAATGGCAGAACTCGCTAGTAAGAGGTATCCCGCCTCTGCTGGAAGTACCATTGGTTTAATAACATTTCTTGCCGTTATCTTGAGATGGAGCGCCACCATATCGTGGCCATTGTACCGAAGGCAATTTCAGTGTGAAAGCTTTACTACCTAGTTTAACAGGCAGGCTTTTCATCCCCGGATTTCATATGGACAATCGGCAACGGACATGCACCAGTACCATCATGTTGGTGACTGGATGTAATTAACACAAATTGGGATTACAGTGGCAATGTGCTGCTTCCTACTCCATTATGATGGGGATAACGTTCACCTTAAGATTGAGTTTTTCACCTCACCTAAAATCCGGAAACCTCCCAATGAGATTCACCAGTTGAGGATTCACAAACTCTGTATTTTCTTAATTCGTCCGCATTGTTTCAACGTATGGTTTCAGACAGTAAAATATGACGGTGCTGTCGTGCTGGAATTTTGGTTTTAACGCATGTTTTGGAGTCAGTACAATTTTGGTGGAAAGCTGTGGGAATTTCTTTTGATTCCTCAACAGATTATCATATCATTCTCAGCGTTGTAGAATGTAATCGTTCAGCTGTAAGGCCCTTTCGGTTCTTAGCTGCCATGCCACCCAAAGGAAACACGAGGGCTGGGATACTGCAAGGTTGCCCAAGCTTAGGCAGGGGAAGTCGGGAGGCGGAGGTCGGGCTCGGACCACGGACCTTCGGTCAGTAAACTCGAGCTCTAGCCACTTGAACCATCTCGCCCCTTGAGCCTGCAATGCAAATACGAAAGCATATTCCGGGCATCATTTCCATATTTCTTTTTGAGTCGTCCTGGACTACCGCGACAGCCACTTCCTCGGGTACGTCAACTGCCCTCAGTGACCAAGCAGTCTGTTGTGTTTCTACGGCTTGAGTGTGTCCTGCCATTTGTAGAAAGGTTCTAGCGTCACTCCTTCCCTAGTATCCTCCAGTTGTACAGAAAATCATCGGGCACCGTTTGTGTGGGCAAGATAGTGATGGAATTCCTCATCTCCGTAATCGGTCTGATTCGACGAGAGGAAACGACCAGGACCGTGTGGATGGGTGCAGTGGTGTCAGTTGTCTTCTGGTTAGGTTCAAACTTTTGAGGGTACAGTATTATTGAGACTGTTATCCGTAGAATTGTTTATCTTCACAACTGTCCACTAGTCTGATAAACTGCAACCAGTTGGGGATGTCTGATTACCGGTATAGCACTCATTCTAATTTATGGTCGAATTCCATCCTTCAGAACGATTAAAGGACAAATTTAAATCTTTCGACCTAGTCACCATTATTGAATTCTAACCACGGTGTACGGTCATTCGAATTCAACTAACTCGAAAGCTTCAGCTGTTGGTCATTCCCGTACACTTCGAGTAGGTGGCGTCGGAGCATTGCAGACAAGTCACTCGTACTGAACCTGTGCTATTCAGAATGGCCTAAAGCGTGCGTCCGAATAGAGTACTATCAGATCAAATTAGTATTCCCTCTGACCTCATGAGATTTTGACTCCAGCATCACGATCAAATGCTTTAGCGCAGTCAATATGCACGAAATCAGTCTGGTTTACACTGACAACAGGACTGCTTTATCTCGGTTTGGTGGTCTTACCATCCTTTTGTTAATATTTCACTGTTTCCTTCTAGTAGAATAGTAAACTGATCTTCTAAACACGTCAACGTGTCAACACACAATGAATTTCCGTTTAACGTGGTATTTTCCAGCCAACGGGTAAGTGTACCATGTTGTAAACTTTTCAGTCTCGCCGCAAAGTTCAAAGAATCAAAGTTTACGTGAAAATGGTCTAACTTCGGCATGCTAATGCACCTTGGTATGTGCGGCTTCTTCTCCGCACGTAGTAATAATAAGGTAGAAAATGAGATAAAAGATCGATTAAAGTTCCAGACAACGGCCACTTGGCAAATCACAGATACAACACAACTGACATCAAATTCTTGATGAATTTTTAACCAACCTATTCCCAATACTTATAAGCGAATAAAGTGCTACTGTTTTAATAGGACTCGAGATAGCACAGTTGCTGAGGCCCGAATATAGTGTTTGGAAGAACCGTGGTTCAAACCCGACCCTGGTACCTCGACTTCTGCTGTATGGACTTGGGTGACCTGACAGCCCTCCTGTTTTCTTTGGGTGGCACGGCAGCTAGACACCAAAAGGCTACTACTTTTTTATTATTTTGATGAATTTGGTCATCTTATTTTGTCCTCAGAAATGAGCGTAAATGAAACTGACTCATTTTTAGCAGTTTCCCATTTTAGTGAGTTGATCTGGCGATCCAACTTTAACACCCCTGAATTTTAAACTGCTCCTGTGACGTGTACAGTAATTGTTAATTGACTCCTTGGAAAATAACGCTGACCGACACAACGGGTGTATTTAAACAAATTCACACATTTATCCCGAATGCAGTATTATATCTGTTCTGAAATAATATAGAG